GGAGATTTAATTAGTGGATGTATTGGGATTACCCTGGGCTGGTATGGCATTGTACTTTTTAGGTTTTCAAATTCTCTTTAAGATTGATGTAAAAGCCCAGTGAAAAGTTTATAAACTTTATAAACTACCTTTCTGAAAGGTACAGTGCATTCCCCAAAATATTTCAACTAAGGTTCCTAAAACACAGAAGCACATTTAACATTCAATGAGCATTTCTGTGAGTACAAAAGAACTCTTACACGTTGAATCAGAGTCTTTAAGAAAACATTTAAAAGTTTAGTGGCAACCATGTATAGATGCTTGCCAGTTAAGTACAGAAATGCAAGCATCAAAAGCATCAGCATCGTTTATCCTGTTGCATCTCCTGCATTTATTCCAATGATTGCTTTAAAGGGTGTATCAGTTGTCTAATAAATAAACAATAACCTTCTCAAAGAAAAAACTCTTGATCTGTGTTTTTGAAGTTCTTGACAAAATTAGTGTGGTGTCCAAGTATGAGAAATAAAAATATAGTTTTATAGGCGTATCATGAAGTTGTAAGATATCCAAGTCTCAGAGTGGACTTGGGTGTCAGGGTCTTTTTCAGCTGGTTAAGAGAAATATAAAAATTCCTAAAAATTAAAATCTTTCGGAGCCATGTGAGAGTTTGGTACGCAGGGGTTTCTTTTCTCTCTTTGGGCTAAGAACAAAAGATCTGTCACTTCTGACAGAGGATGGCCAATGGCCAATTAGAAAAAAGGGAAAGCCCCTTTTCAGAGAAAAGAAACCTTTTTAGGCAAAAGTGAATATATTAAGCTTATCTGAAAAAGGTGGGATTTTGTAAACCCAAGTGGTCTTTTCTTCACAAAGAACTCAGTGTGAGACTAAACCCAGCGTGCTGAATAAATTCTTTGGTTTTGTTTCATAAGTTTTTGCCATCTTTCTAAATTCAAGGGAAAAACTTTTCTCACAGAAGGATATTTATCAGAAGTAAAATTTTAGATAGTTAAATGAGGTGTAAGGAAAAATGAACAACTAAAATAAAGTTACTGCAAACTGTCTAGATTTTAGGTCTAATTTATTAGATTTCAAAACAATTTTTTATTTGCTTATTTGTAAATTGTGTGATGCCTGCTAATGGTTTCATCTTTCCCTCTCCAGTGGAACTACAGAGATAATGCCATGTCTAGTTTCATATTAAAAAAAAAAAAAAAAAAAGGCAAAACAGGCCCAAATGGTTTCATCTTTCCCTCTCCAGTGGAACTACAGAGATAATGCCATGTCTGGTTTCATAATAAAAAAAAAAAAAAAAAGGCAAAACAGGCCCAAAAGGTTCTCCCTAAAAGCTAAATAAAATAAAAAACTGATTAATATTTCTTTGGGTTTTTTCTTTGTTGGTTTTAAAAATCAATTTTTGATGAGTAGTACAGACAAGTTTTTTTTGTGCATTTGCATTCTGCCTTTTTTTTTATTAAAAAAGTTAAAACCCACACATGCAAATTGAATTTTAATTCTGATGTAAGGGGAAAGAAACCATGCTGCCCTTGCTGAAAAGTAGAGCACATAAAAATACTGAATAATTTACTTGGTTTCCTTAGAAAAACCAATCATTTCATGATTGTAGCAACATCAGCAGCATGTCTTTAGATTTTTTTTCATATTTTGTAGCCACATGCAAGCTTCTGTCGTGGACTTTATTATCATTGAACATACATAAAAACAGTTTTCTGGGTTTATTTAGTGTACAGGGATGATGATCACCTACTCTACATGTGGCCATTTTCTGTGTCAAAATTATTCTTTTCTTGTGTATGTTTTATATCTTCATATGTAAAAGGCAGTGTACAATACCTGACCCTAATACCTATTTGAATTGTAGATAATTTAAAAAAATAGAATAACTTCATATTGGCTATGCTTGCACTAAATAAATAAAGGCACTGATTACTTGGATTTTCTTTAAGTCAGCTATTTCAAAATGTATTTTAAATACATACTTTGAAAATCATATGACAAAAAGTATGTTTATAGATGGCTGAGCTTTTTGTTCACAGCAGTGTGAAAAAAAGAGTGGATACAACTGTTGAACAACTGAAAATGATAAGCAAATTTGACGATTTAATTCATACACTAGTGGAGCCTAAAAGATTTTAAAATAACAGAAATTTCACCAGCTTTAGTGGTTCATAGGCTTATTTTTGTTATACAGGTTGGTCATGTAGTTGGCAGTTTTCCTTTTGCATGACTCTTGTAAATTATTGTACTCTACTAACTGAGTGAAAAGCTATTCCAGTTTTGTGAAGGAATATGACAATATCACTTCAGAAGATTAAAACAATTACAAACTACACATGTGTACAATTTCGCCACAACTTATTGTACAATTTATTTTTTTCCTGTGGACATAGCTCTCAAAGCAAAGGTGCTACTGATGTGATGTAATTTAAATGTGCTATTGTTGTGATGCAGTTTAGAACTTTATCTCTGTGTAAAATGTGCTTTTTGCACAATTGTATTTCTTCATGGAACAGTGATTTCCGAGCACTGCATCCTGGTTTATACATACTAAAATGTAGTGTGTTTGGTCTGGAGCATGACATAAAGCATATCTTTGTTATGCGGCACTTTCTAAAATAGCACTGATTGCAGAATACCCTTTAGTCGCTTAGTGTCAAGTTTAACAAAATTCTTACTTAGCATCGACTGTTTTCCTTTCAAGTGTTTTGACAGAAGTCATCCCTGTTAAGTGCTTTCCGAACTGGGCTCCGGTAGCTTGTCTGTAACCTGATCTGTGTTTTGTTTCAGTGTGTTGTCTGCTGACCTAGAGAACACATGCATTAGCTGCATTGATCAGTGCACCTCACATCTCATCATTTAGGAGACAATTAATACTGCCTTGTAAAGACTCCCCAGAGCATTTTCTTAGAGCTGGATTGCTTTACGCAGAAACCACAGGAGCAAAAGGAGGAGGCAGCCAAGTAGGAAAAAGAAAAAAGGCATTAAGAAAGCTTTGTCTAGAAACCAAGTTCCTTTTGCTTTGGTGACTTTCACTCATGTCATTTAAACACCCTTTTCTGATGGGGCACTTGGAAAAGAAAATTGACTGTATTTTGAAGTTGATTTGTTGAAAGGACACTGTTAGAGGTCACATAAATATTCTAAAATGTTCCTCTTGAGAAATATGCATTTGATTGTGATACTTGTATAACTTGCTGTTAAAAGTGTAATAATTTTAACTTTATATTTTTTTCAAGGATTATTAAACTGACATCTTTTCAAATATTGACATGTTTTAATCTTAAATTTATTTACTTTTAAATAACATACTTAGTAGAGAAGAAAAAGTTTTTCTAATTGTCATTTTTGCTGTAGTGTTTCCTCCAAATTGTTAAATTTCAGGCTGCCTGATACTTAAGATAAAAGACAGATTTTAAGTATACATGAATATGTTAAGTTAACAAGGAGGTAGGGCTCTAAGTGTGGTCCTTCATCTTTTAGTAATAAAATATTTAATATTAGAGATTATCCACAGAAGCAGGTGAGAAACATTCAGTAATAAACCCCAAATTTTTCTTGCAGATTACTAAGGTTACCATACTATTCGCTGTTAAAGACTATGTTGCACTGTTGTAACGAGCGTATCTTCAGATATGCTTAGGATAACAGTTGATTATACAGACTTAAAATTTATAAAAGGGGAATTTTAGGGAGAAGGTTGCTTACCACCCTGGCGCATTAATCTATGATGCCAACTAATATGTTGTGAACTCCAGAAATTGTTGCAAATTTGTTAGTATTTACATTACATTGTAATTTTCATCTTTTTAGGTAGAGTGAATGAATTTTATGTGAGGAAAGATTCATTTGTAGTCTTGTCAATAGTATTTACTAGAGGTATGTCAAACAACAAAAATGATTATATTTATTTTGTGGTAATTCCTTGGCTCAGATTTGCTATTTTGCTCCCCCTCCCAATATTCTTGAAGCAAAATGTGCACTGACATTGAATAGAGATATGTATCTGGCATATCTTTGCAGCACAGTAATATCTTGATAGTTCATGTTATAATTTTCTTCTGTTAGTAGAACTGTTTACTGGTATTTGAAGGCAACAATGAGGCAATAAAAATAATTAAATTTCATATATTGTAAGTGTAAAAAATGTGTTTGTGGAAGTATGTATTACATGAAATTTCTAAGTGGTTCTACTTGGACATCTAGGTTGTCTTGTGTTGGTATTCCTGCAGACTAAAAGTGGAAACTACAATATTCCCTTTAAGTTTTTTTTTTGTTTGGTTTGGGGTTTTTTTTGTTGGTTTTGTTTTTGTTTTGTTTTTTTTTTTGGAGGTTGGTTTTTTTCCCAGCTCCTGTTAGATCCTGTTTTCCAAATCAAAACTGATTTTCTGGAACCTATTCAAGTGGTTTGATATGTGGAATACAGAACATGGATTTTTTTCAGTGAAATGTCATACTTTTATCCTTAGGATCAATACTGGGGAGTGGACGTTATATTCTTTCTCTAGTGAGGATGTATCAAGCTGTAATCCAATATGTAAAAAAGTCTTTTTTTGCTATACAGTGAAGCCATACATAATCATCTACAAACAGTCTCATCACAAAAAAATCAAGGAAGTATTTTTCCACAGTTCTGCGTCCATCTTTAGACATCCTGTAGATGTTTTTAATTAAGAAATCAATAAAAAAGAACTGGTGTGGGCTTTTTTTGTATTACAAACAGAACAATTTCAGTTTGGAAAAAGGTTATGCATGCTCTAACTGATATTATCCAGGCTGACTTGGAAAGTTAGCGTTTGTAGGACCTACACAAATAGGAGTTGTTTAAAACATCTTCACATCATCATGTGATCTTTTGGAAGTCTCTCCATTCATTTATGTGTTTACTGAGGTATTGCTAGTTGGTTTACTAAGGTTGCTACAAATGCCATCTTTGTGGCCTAATTGAAGCAGTTTGTAGGATCTTGAAGAATCCTCGTCATTCAGATCAACTTTTGTGTTTGCAGGTACTACAGAGCGGGTGTGTCTGATCCAGGGAACGGTGGAAGCACTAAATGCAGTTCATGGCTTCATTGCAGAGAAGATTCGAGAAATGCCTCAGAATGTGGCGAAGACAGAGCCTGTCAGCATTCTACAGCCTCAGACCACTGTTAATCCAGACCGCATCAAACAAGTGAGTTTTTGGTTGGGAATAGAGTCACAGCAGCTCCTTAGAAGTCTTAAAACTTTAGGGCTGCAAGGGGTCAACATAACATGTTCTTTAAAAAAATGTTGTCTTACACTCTAGTAACCTGCTGGTACTCTTTTTCCTTGTACTTACATGTTCCCTGTTTTTCAGCAGTTCTTTTAGACAGTGTTTTATAAGTTTCAATGCCATGCTCTAATGTGTTTCTTTACTGTATAAGGTGATAATACACTTACAGGTTTTAGTTAAAGGTTGATGAATTTTAATCTTAAATTATGAACCTCTGTAAATCATTAGTGTTACTAAAAAATCACAGATTAACTGAATGTTTCCTACTTTTGTGTATATAAATAAAAACAAAAATGTTAATTTTTTTTTAGACCCTAAATTAGATACTTTAAAATCTTAGCTATAAAAACTTGGGATGTTTTCTACAATTATATTTTGTGTTATTTTTGACACCTTTTTACCTATTTCACACTGACTTCTTTCAAAATTTCTGGACAATGCAAAATGTATTTGCAAGGTATTATTGGCCTAATATTCTTTATTCTTTAATTTCTGTAAAAACTTTAATTAAAAAAACTTTGGTCTGTAAGAAGAATGGGAAATATGCATCATACAGGGTTTTAAAATATTTTCTATTGTATCAAATAAGAAAAGGATGAAGAAAGAAATGAGTGAACATTAGTAAAATTTTGTCTTGTCTCTCTATCCTATATAGGATAGATTTTAGTTTCTTACCTCTCCTATGTGGGAAAAGATTGTTTTGTCCTTCACACTAGCAAGATTCAGTTTCTTGTAATTTGGTAACTGTGTGCAATTACTTCACTTTGTATATAGTGACATACACAAAATACTTATATGAAGATGTGTTTGAAAGGGATGAGTTTGGAACAGACTACTTTAGATGGATGAAGCTATGCATAAGCCATTGATATTTTTAATATTTACTACTATATTATTTTTTCTGTATACAATAATTTTACATAAAAATTACTCAAGATAATTTATAAGAAAAAACTAAAAAGAAAGCCCCAATTTTATAGGATTAGTTTCTCAATTATTAGACATGAAAATGATTATGCCTGAAAGAGAGAAAAACTTGAAGTGAACTATATTTTAAGTGGCTTTTCTGCTAGTAAAATATTAGATTTTATGCCAATACTTCTTAACCCAGTGGGAAATGAATATTCTCTATTACAATAAAAGGTGCTTTTCCCATTAACCATGAAATAAAGCTAATTTTTAAATAAACCGGTAAGATCCTGAGAAACTAGATGACAGAGCTATTTAATGACATGTCTAAATACTTCCTCTCTTGTACCTAAAGATGATTATCTTGTCCTCCACAGTTTCCTTCAGAAAATATAGTTGCAAAGTTGTTGAGGTTGGGTTTTTTTTACTTGGGGTGTTTGTTTTTATTGGTTGGTTGGTTTGGTTTGGTTGATTGGTTAGTTGTTACTTGTTTGGGGCTTTTTTATTTGGATTTTTTTGTTTGTTTGCAGGGTTTTTTTGGTTTTTTTTGGTTTTTTTGTTGGTTTGGTTTTGGGTTCTTTTAGGCTTGGTTGGTTTGGGGTTTGATGGTTTGAAATGTTAAGTTCAATTAAATTCTGGAGGGATGGATTAGTGAGCATAGGCACTGCTAATGAAGTTAAGACAGAATAAAGTACAATGTATACTAGCTCTACATCTTAAAATTTAAATATATTACTTGTATACATACAGATGCATAGTAATGTAACTGCAAATATTTGGGGATATGCATGTGCATATGTTAAACAGTTTTAACCACAATGAATTGTTTAACTTCTCTTTTATTGAAGCAACATCTATTCATGATAAATTAATACACTATAAATATTGACTCAATAAATCCAAAATTCTTTATTTTTGTCAAGAATTGAAATTCTTAGGTAGAGTTTACAGTGGATTAGTCTGTCCTCCAGTGTCAGAATATACTATATCTTAGTGAAAGACATAATAGCTCAATTTAAATATTTAAAAGGATAATATTTTATAACAGGTTATGATGATTTATAACTCCAGTGTTGTTATTTTTTTTAATAGCAGACAGATCACAATTTTACTAAAATGACCAGTATGATGTCTAATACAAGTAACTTAGAATGTTTTTTAAAAATAAACCTTATTAATTGCAATTTCTTCTTTTATACAAACTTCTACATGGTTCTTCCTGTCTCAGAATGTTAACCAAGAGCACTGACACATGAAGTATTACACGATTTGAGATGGAGAGTTGATTTGAAATAATAAATTTTATCTTCATTTAGGAACTCTGAAGATGTTTCTACCAAAAAGCAAAGGTAGTTTTCTCCCCATGAAAGACGATACCAGTAGTTGAAGCCTTGCGATGCCACCCATGTCTATATGAGCATGCATCTCTCATTTCTCTATTGGTATTTCTTTGTCTTGGGCTGCTTTATGCCAACACTCACCCTAGAGAAAAGAGCTAAGAAAGAAAATACCTCCTGGCTATAGATTCGATGAAGAAAGATGGTTGGTAAAACCTTTGCTGACTGCTTGAGTTTCAGCACTTTCTGTCTTCAAGAAAGGCATGGGACACACAGAGGCTGAGTCTGGCCTGGAATTTCTCCTTACTAATAGAAGTAACTATCTGAACATTCTGTCTCTTTAACTTATGCTTTTTCAGCTTCAGAAGATTTGTAAGCAAGTCTGTGTGGTTCCTTTTGAGCCTTCTCCAGTGTGTTTTTCTGTATCTCCTAATCCTATGGATTTATCAGTAGATACTAGGTAGTTGTCTTCTCCAAGTAGGTGTGACAGATGTTTAATCGACAAATGTTTTCATCTTTATCTCTACACAACATAGACAATCTCTTCATAAATGTCAACCATCTGTTATTTGTGAGTATCATCCAACAATAACCAATTCCTGTGCCCTTTTACTTCCCAGAAACTGCTGTGAGCTTCTAACTTCTCTTTTCTCTCTTTATTAATTGCAGTGTCATACCAACTCTTTCAAACCGCATTGTAACTCAGGGGTTACAAACCACATTCTATTCATAAATGATCATGAGCCTGAGTTTTTTTGTCTTTTTAATTAGCGTGCAAAGCTTTAAATTTCACCTCTAAATTAATAGCAGCTCTTATTAACAATTGAAAAGTCTACTTAAATTGGTCTTATCGCATCACCTTCTTCAGAAAGTATTACAGCTTCTTTGCAGGTTAGTTGAATTTTCCTTCCAGCTTTCAGTTGTTTTACAGGTAGCAGGTGTTGTAGCAGCCTGTCCAGGAAGCACATGGAAGCAGAGACAGCCATTGCAGAACTGTGCATTACATGGAAGGAAAGACAACTTATCTTAAAGATTACTCTGCTTCAAACAGGAGTTTACACTCTTTGGCCTTCTTAGATCCCTTCAAAACTGAATCATTATTTGATTCTATGAAATTTTTCTACACTATCAAAGCATAGAAAAGGATTTAGAATTTCTTCTTTGAAAATCTAGAGTAAATCCTTCACATATAGAACTTCCAATTAAAGTTTTCATTGGAACCAGTTTCACTTCAGCTTTTTCAGTAGATAATTAGTGTCTCATAAGCTAAATTTCTGTTTATTAGTCATGGTCTCAGACATTTCAGTCAAAATCTGCAGAAGTGAATATCGGAACTCAGATTTGTAATTTCATGTTCCACTACTGAAAACAACTGCTTTTACTTCAGAAATGTTGATCAACAACAACAAAAAAGAAATGTTCATAATTTTTAAATATAAAGTTTTGTTTTCAAGTGCTTAAATAGAATCTGATTTTAAGAATGCACATCTGAAAGTATTGGCTTAAATGAAGGATTTTTTTTAATAGGGTCTTTGGTTAGTTTGAGTTTTTTTAATATAGGTTATGAGTTCTTCAGACTACAGAAACTCAATAGACTTCATAGAATCATACAATGGTTTTAGTTGGAAGGTGACTTAAAGATCAGCTAGGTCCAACCCCTCTTAGACAGGGACACCTTCCACTAGACCAGGTTGCTCAAAGCCTCATCTAACCTGGCCTCAAACACTTCCATGGAGCATCAATGGCTTCTCTGGGCAACCTGTTCTACTGCCTCAGCACCCTCACAGTGAAGAGTTTCTGCCTAATATCTACTCTAAATCCACCTGCTTTCAATTTAAAACCATTATCCCTTGTCCAATCACTACTCTCCCTGATAAAGAGTGTGTCCCCTCTGCCCTATAAGCTCTCTTTAAGTACTGAAAGGCTGCTATAAGGTCTCCCTGAAGCCTTCCCATCTCAAGGGTAAACAATGCCAATTCTCTCAGCCTGTCTTCACAGGAGAGATGCTCCAGCTGCTGATCATCTTTGTGGTCCTGTTCTGGATCTTCTCAAGCAGGTCCTTCTTTGCTGGGGGCCCCAGAGCTGGATGCAGTTGAATTTTCCTTCTAGTTTTCAGTTGTTTTACAGGTAGCAGGTGTTTTAGCAACCTGCCCAGGAAGCACATGGAAGCAGAGATGGCCATTGCCATTTCTCCGTGTGGGGTCTCACCAGAGCAGATAGAGGGACAAACCCACCTCTCAGCCTCCTAGATACACTTTTGATGCAGCCCAGGATGCAGTTGGCATTATGGCCAGTGAGTGCACATTGCTGGATTGTATTCAGTTTTTCATCCACCAATATGCCTAAGTTCTTCCTCCTTAAGAAACCTTCATGGATTTCCTAAAATGCCTCTCCCTTCTGATAAGCCTTTCTTCTTTTCATCATTCATTTAAGGCAACAGTCTGTCACCTAGATGAAACTTATTAAAATGAAGAATATGAGAAAATAGCTCTTACAGTTTTCATTTGAAGTAAAAAGTAACAAGTAGCTTCATAGATCAATGTCTTTTCATCTAGTCAGCAATTTCTCATAAACTTTCATCACTTTCGAACATTGGTGAAAAATCACAGCAGTTACCATTCCGCAGTATATAGTAAGATATGCAGGTGTTTTTACAAGTTGCAAGAACAAAAC